GTTCAGTATGGCTTTCTGGGGATGACTAAGATGTGACATCTTGCAACCACAGCACAACATCTCACATTATACAACACAACAGAAATAATCTTTGTCTCTCTGTCTCTATCCCACTCACACTATCTCTCCTTTGCTTGTTCTGTAGCTGTCATTTTTTAATTCTGTTTACTGGCTTTGTCTATTGTCTGTGTTTCTTTACGTTGGTTCTCCCAACCCTCTATCTTTTGCTGAAATGGTTTAATATATCTGCGGACTTATACGTTTTCTGCATTTATGCGTGGAAGTGAGTACTGCAGAAGGGAACAAAAGGCTTAATGCTGTGTTAATTTACAAGAGCAGCAAAACAAACCATAATCAGGACTATAACATGAAGCATATGAAAAGGTATTTGGCAATGAAGATGAAAGTGAAGCCAGTTTCAATACATTTATATTAAAGATACAAGCACCTGAACTGCATTTTGATAAGACCTTGTGCCTAATGGCGTTTAGATTATCATGATTGAGAAGCATAACCAAGAAGCCCATCATCTTTTAACTGGTTTTTCAGATATCATTTTGACACTATTTTCAGGCACATCTAATCAATTAGTACTCCTCACCACCATCTTATCTTGGAATATAGTCCAGCTCCACTTCCATCAAGATATCAGTAATTCACCGTTCGTAAGAATGAATGAAAACTATGTTCATTTTCAGCCTTGAACAGCGTCCTGCTTTTGGTGATCTGGCTCCGATTTGACTTAAAGGAGTCTTAAAGGTCAGGGATATAAGTCACATTGTTAAAACTTTGGAATTAATCCTAAAAGTATGTGACAACTGAAGTAGAGAAACTAAAATTAGATTATGAAAAGGATGCTCAGGTCTCTTAGATTTAGTTAAAAGCCTCCCTTCTGGTTGCTGTATCAGCTGCAGATGAGAGAAAAGTCTGACTGTGACGGAAGTCAAGAGAAACATGGATCATCACATGCATGACTTTTTCAGGTCAGCAGAGGATAACAAAGACATTATTTTAGAAATTGGTTTCAAGAGGAAGAAATGGGAAATTTCTTGATAATATAACAGCTAATATTATTATTCCTGTCGGGTGTACAATTAGTTTGAACGTGACATGATTTGCACTCCATTGCACGCAGTACACGTGAACCATGTAATATGAAGACACTTCATAGGACTAAACATTTATTATGCATAATGTTTGGCAATTAGGTTAAACTTCATCTAATACGGGAAGTTTTGAATGGCTTCAATTTATGAGCTTGTTCTGAAACAGTTATGTCTTTATTATTGTCAGGGCACCACTATCTGCAGGTGAGATTATAAACACACCTGTAATCACTTTGGCACAGTATTAATTAATTCAGCTAAGTGTGTATTTTAAATAAACATCAGTCATCAGTGTCGTGCTGTATTCCACTGGAGTAAGATGAAATACCAAGTTGATTATACATAAATGTCAAAAATTGTGCTGTCAACACCCACGTTGAGGAACATGTTGTCAGGCGAGTGTGTAAATTCATTGTTTTGTACGTATACTGTTGACACTAACATAAGTGAGCTTAACTGTTTATTAGGAGAAATGACTGACTGCTTGACCTGGCTGCATATCCGAGAGTTTCTTCCACATTGACATACATAGCTGTACATCGCTGTCACCACCAGCCGATGCCGGCCTTGATATTATCCGTTTCTCGGCAGGTCTCCAACACATTGTCAGAAATGAGTAATGACACTTCTCAATATAGCATTGAGAGTGAAAATGGCAGAATGGACAAGGACGTGACTTTAGTGCCACAGTAACTCTGCACTCAGATGACAATGACAAAGGCTCAATCTTTCTCTCCCTCACACACACAGGCACACACACATAGCGCAGTATATATGGATGTTGATGTAAACATATGGGCATGTATCTGCTTTTCTTTTTGTTACCTCTGATTAATCAAATATATTCAAATCGTCTTTAAAAGCCTTTTTTTTTCTTGTGACACTTTCAGCTTAGTACACTAAAATTCCCTAATGATCATTTGAGAGACAGAGACAGAAGCAAATGTATTAAGGCTGGGTCACGGTTGATGGTGTGGCAGTAATTCATGAACAGGACACATTAAGGATTCATGCCTTCCTTCTCTTACGGTGTCAACAAGCTGTAAGAACGCTATTCATCACACATGCAGACTGTAAGAGAGAAGACAGAAAGTGTGAAGGAAAGGTAATGCTAAGTGAGAGAAAAGAACGGAGGCAAGCCACAAGGTGGCAGGTAAAAGGGACGAATGTGGGGCTGCAAGTTATCTTTTCCAGAATACCCTGCGGTGAGCCATCCTCGACGAGCAGGACAAACATGTGTATCCAGCTGCACACGTTTGTCAGTGCGTCTGCGTCATCGTCCTAATCCATCTGCAGAACATTGATAGGTTTTAAAGCACCATCACTCCCTTTCCATATCCACTGCATCTTAGCTCAGTGAAGACATGGATTTGACAGCATGATCTATCTCAGCCCTAACCCCTGTCACTACATCCAGCCACTAAAATTACCTCATGGTGCCTGTAATAACACAGCTGAGACCTGGGCATGATGGTATTGATGCGCTCATTCCTGGACCTCAGATTCAGGCCGGATTTTTACAGGCAGAGCTTAAAAGTCTATCAACGTGCTTGTGAACCGATCACATACATATACACACACGACTGACTGCGCTCTTTAGACACAAAATAGGTCATGTAATCGCTCTCATTTTTGCGCAGTGTTCTGTTTAACCGCTTCAGGTCCAGTTTTAGATTTATGTCTTTGATGTTTGGATGGTCATCCCCCAGGGGGTTCGATAAGAGTGGCCATTTTAGAGACTTCTTGGTGTGTCATTGTTGTTCTTGTTCGGTTGTGTTTATGACTACCGTTTCATTGTGTTCTTGCTGACCTTTGTAGCTGGGAGGGGTGGAGTGGCGAGGTGGCTAGTGGTGTGAGTGTTTGGCATTGCCCTCTCTGTCTCAGTGTCGGCACTGTGCTGTAAACAAATGGCTCCGTTTTTCCCTCTTACCTGCTCTCTTTCCGTCATTCTGACAGGGGCGAGAGCGGTGCCAGAGTTCCTGTCAGCCAAGAACAGCATTGTCAACAGTAAACATGCAAACAGCCCCCTGCACACGTGCACACACACACACACACACACACACACACACACAGAGTGCACATTGTCAATAAAGTGTTGTGAAGGAGGCAACAAAAGATGAAGGACAAAAGAGACTATTTGCATTGCAAATGAAACCATAAAAAACTTCAGGTTAGTATTTTCCCTTTCGTATTGAAACGGTGTTGTCATTTTAACTAGAGCTCAATGACTGGGCTTGTTGCTGTGTGTTTCATTTTGCTCAGCATTTAAGCAGGGACTGCCTTTGTGTGGACAAGATCAGATTAGTGTTAAGAAGGTTCACTGTTAAAGTACAACTGAAATCACATCCCTTTTTAGCTGTCAACAATAATGTCAGCGTCTGGAGGGGCGTGTTGGTGTCTGTGTTTGATTGAGAGCAGCTGGCAGGCTGAGCCCTGGCAGGGAAAAGAGAGACAAAGTAAACAAACTCTGACTGACAACTGTAGCTTACAAGCCATGGGCAGACAGTGTGTTGTTAGCAGTGGTAATGAACAGTCAGGACATACTAGCAAACAGAGTGAAATTACGTTTACAGGTATGTTTTTAAGCTCAGCCTAACTTAAAATAAGTAACTAGCCTGCAAACCGAAGTTAGAAATGCCCTTTCCCTGGTTATTAGTCTGGTTGCTAGTTTAAACCATTTCCATTTAGTTAAATAACGTGCCTTTAGTAGGAAAGATAATGTGGGTTGTTGTTCAAAGTCTGTCGCTACTGTCTGGCTGTTGGTCAGTGTGACCGTCTGCCTTTGAAATAACGCTGATGTTACTGCTTCATGCAAAGATTTGATTGGCTGTATGATAAGTTCTCCTGACAAAGTTGCAAGTAGAAAGGGCTGCTGATTCTGGAAGAGTTTTTTCCCGATTCTGTTTCACCATCTCAGTTTGTTCTTTAAACGATATCCTTTATGTTACATTAATATTACATACATACAGACACAGAGGACTCTCCAGGGTGATATAACGGGCCTATATGTTTATGGTATCACCACCAACTTTCTGACAAATCATGTTATGTCCAGCATTTTAGCACAGGTTGGCATGGTGAAGAGGTCAGTCAGAAGTGCGAATCAGGTGTGGTAGTGATTTTCAAAATAAAGCTATAAACATCAATAATGCATAATAATGGTTCTGTGATTATAAATTTGCATCAAATCACAGACAAGTATTAAATGTGTCCCTAAAGTCATTGCCAACCAGATGCTTTTGAAACAACAAATACTGGATGCAAAGTGTAAATCCATTTTATTGACATTTAATTTTAATTGAAATAAATTATATCAAATAGTTATGGTCTGTTTGTCTGTTTAATATAATAATATTATTAATTATAATACGTTCGTCTGATAAAGCATATGCATGTTTTGTGGACATTTGTATGGGTATGGAAGAGTGTGTATATGTGTGTGTGTGTGTGTGTGTGTGTGTGTGTGTGTGTGTGTGTGTGTGTATTTGTTGTCTCTCCTCGGCTTGTGTCCAGGTGTGCACATAGTCAGCAGACTTTTCTCCCCTGTAGGTCATCACCTCCATGTTAGCAGCCAGGATCCCAGCTTCCTGTTCATAGTGTCAGTGACAGACATTATTTTCATCAACATCCAAGCAGAGGGGCCCTGACTGTATCAGTGATTTCAAAGGGAAGAAGGGAGAAATCTCTCCTCTCCTCTCCTCTCTCCTCTCCTCTCCTCTCCTCTCTGCTGTGTGTGTTTATGCGTCAGAGTTGGGGTTTAGTGTTACTGTTAACAACATGCCAGTAAGTAAGTCATTTTGGGCATGCTAGGGTAGGTGTAAAAATTATATGTGACATAAAATATAATTGTTATTTTAAAGTTCAACAGAATGGTTTCTCTTCTTTGTGTTTCAGGATATCCTAGGTCTTGGCCAGACACTGCCATACAGATCTAAGAGATCCCTGCTGGTCCCTCCTATAATTATAACTGAGAACCAGAGAGCTCCTTTCCCCAGGATCATTGGCAGGGTAAGAAACACATGGTCCTATCATAAACTCAGGTGGACTTAATTTTTACAACAGCACCCAAGTCTTACACTGGCACTATTTCATGAAAAGAAAAAAAGGACTTGTTTTGCATTTCAAATACTCACAATGACCAAAATATTCAATATGTGCATTATTTAATGCAAATAAATGTTCACCACTGTCTTATTTAGCCCAGAAACAGAGGTGTGTGGCATGCTCCCTAATCTGCTTCACATCTCCACAGACAATTTATAGGGAAATACAAAGATGGTGTTTGTAGATATATACATTAATATAAGAATGTGAAAAGTGATAATAGTGGTTCTGTGATTATAAATTTACAATCGAAAAATTAAATGGGTCCCTAAAGTCATTGCCAACTAGATGTTTTAAAAGGGTCTATGCCTTCATGCTAATAATTTTTCATTACATTGATATAGTGTCTAAAAGCACATTTGCATTGACAGAAATATAATTCAGTTCAAATATAGGAAGCACTTATTTCTTATTGTATCCATCAAATGCATTCTGGCAAGCTTGTTAATTTTACTGACATTAGTTTTGGCTGACTGGGATTTTAGTTAATGAGTCGAACTTGGAAAGGTCGAACAATAAACATATTAGCTTAAACCTAAGCTTACCTGAGAGTTTATATTATGTTAGACTAATATACAAAATGTCTATCACAGGCTGAGGTTAAGTTTCATTCAAACTCCATTAACCTGTAGCTATTTATAACCAAAATCATGCCACTCAGCAGCCATCTTGGCAACGCCTCCGAGCAGATATTTCGGACTAACAAGACCAGGCTCCTATCTGAATGAATGGGGAGAGAGCCAGAACTGCATTTTTACTGGTCACCGGCACATAAAAACTACATGAATAGAATCAGCAGTAAAATCTAATAAAAATCGCTGAAAAGGTTTGACGACTTTGCCCCAAAATAAGGTTTAAAAAGCGTTTTTCCCGACCAGTTATACTTCTACTACACATGCGTCACTACCACCATGCATGCCCAGTAGAAGTAAAACAGACCCTTAACCACCATCTTTGCCGTTATGGGCTTTCCCCATAGAGTTATATTGGGGATGTGACTGAGTGGCGTGTCTCCTCTATTAAACGTCTCTGTTATAACTTACAGGACTCAGTCAAAAGTTTACAGCTTGCAGCTTGCTTTCTCTCAGCGCTGTCCATGGTTCTGAAACAAGACACGATGGCCAAGGACTAATCCATGCAGAAGATACTTTACTTGTGCACTAGTACATGCCATTCACAGGGCTGATTACCAGGCTCATAGATGCACAGCAATAACTTGCTGTTGATGGTGAAGGAGGAGGAGGTTGTAGGATGATGATGATGATGAGTATAGAGATTTTTATCAGTGAACAATTGTCTTTTTCTTTCAGAAACATATTCTCTTGTGAATCTCACACCTTCAAAATATTGGAAATTCTAGCTGAATATTATTTTGAGATATTAGTGTGGATGTTATTAGGAGCAATGGTCTACCAACTGTTTTGCTTGCTAAAAAGAGATGCCCTTGGTTTATTTAAGGATTTCTTAAGTTAAAAAAGGACAGTGCTCATTTATGCTCATAAAATCACTTGATCGTAGAGCGAAGACCTGGTAAGGTCATATTGGAGTATTTTGTTTGTTGCCTGGGCATTTAAGCATTAATTTACTGAGATAAATAAAACATAGTGTTTCCAATATTGGCCACTTAATACAACCACAAGAGGTGGGCTTTTTATCTGTCACAGTTAGACAGAAATTTGACATTGTTGCCGCTGTTTGTCTTGACTTGTTTTCGACTCCTTCAGTATGCTCTTTGTATTCAGGATGCAACAATGTAGACCTCAGTGTCACCAGCACCGCAACTGATTTGCTTTGTATCATTCAATAATTTGTAATGTATTTTCCTCTTAGATATTGTGTCTTTATTATGTTTTTTGATAGTGAGCTAGCGGGAAGAAAGGAGACACAATTGCAGCTATTTATTATACAGTAGATGGAGGATTCGATTAATACTTCACAATCAGCCTATTAAGTGATCCAATTTCAGATTCTGCTGCAATTTTTTCCATGTGAGTGGAGTTATAAAAGTGGGAACTGGCAAATCTTAAAACTTAGTGAAGCAGTGTGTTTTCTCTTGTTTTTCGTTGCGGTGATGAGTTCTTAAGCTGTCGCCTGTTATAAAACTAAGAGCCCTGTGATATAAAACACCTAATGACAGAAGTATAGATGGTGTAGCTTGCCTGTAAATATTACCATAGTCAAGTGAATGCAAGTCTAGTTCAGTCATATAGTAAGTAGGAGTACTGTAGGATGATACCTGTTCAATCTGGGAGTCACACAAAGCATATGTACTGGAAACAGCAGACACAGAACATGGATTCATTTTCATTTAAAATCAGTTTAGGATCAATTAGAGCTTGTTGTTAGACCTAAAAAGCAGAAGATTCGATTTTGCCAAATATTGAGAGAAAACTACCACATACAAGATTGTATGGGCACTTCCTCTGATTCCGTGACATTCTGGATAGGCAAAATTGGCCTAAAGTTTATGAATGATAAGTGATGAATAATGTTGCCATAAGATGATAATAATGATAATGATGTAAATATGAGAATAGTTGTTATTTTTTGTCAAAACATTCTCATACCAGAGTAGCGACAGGCATTCTGGTTCTCCGCAGTCATGGTAACAATAATAAACACATGGTTAATGTTATGAAATGGCTAAAAGTTTTGTTAGGTTTAGGTACCAACACAGCTTGGTTTTGTTCAGGAAAAAATCATGGTTTGGCTTAAAATAAGTAATTTAAGTTATGTATGATGTAACGTAACATACAAATGGCCACTAGAGGTCAACACCTAACAATAAATGAGTCGTTACATGCCCCTTTATGGTTGATCGTTTGTAAGTTAGATGTTAATTATGCACTGGATAGCCCCTTTAGCCAACCAGCAACTTCACTATCAGAAAGTCTGAGGTAAAATTCTGAGGTTATAAGCTCACAAATGCTCACATTTCTAGCTAGCTAGCTGGCATGCGCGTATTTTACTTCAGACTTTCTGCTTATGAAGTTACAGCAACCTCACTATTTAAAAGTCGGAGAAATAAATTATAGGAAAGCTAATAACATAAGGCAAGGCAAGTTTATTTCTACAACATCGATCTATACACCCCTTGCTTTTAACTAGCTACTTGTAGTTTATTTTATCTGTAATTTGGACATATTAAAGTGATTTCACACTATAGGGGGGGCATCTTACCCCATGTGGGAAATGCCTTTTCCCTAAAAAACACATTTGATTAAATACAAATAAATTTGTCAACTGTAAATTTATTTTATTTTAAAATATGTTACCCATCTCCAAGATACAAAAAACCCCTATAAAGTATTATTTTATGTGTCAGCAAATAGACATTGAGCTTAGGGGGGGCGTGTTACGTCATCCACACCGCCACTGCTGGACTCCAGATTCAACACCCGAGTGCCCTCATAGTGATCTCGGGTGACTTCAACCATGTCACCATGACCACCACACTTATTAACTACTGCCATACTAGAGAGGAGAGGACCCTGGACCTGCTGTATGCTAATGTTAAGGATGCATACAGCTCTTCCCTCCTCCCCCCACTGGGCAGGTCAGACCACAACCTGGTTCACATCAATCCCTGCTATGTGCCTCTGGTGAAAAGGCAGCCTGCGACCACAAGGACAGTGGGGAGATGGTCAGAGGAGGCCTATGAGACACTTCAGGGATGTTTTGAGGTGACAGACTGGGATGCACTCTGTGAGCCACATGGAGAGACATAGCTTACTGAGTGTATCTCAGATTACATCAACTTCTGTGTGCACTGCAATGTCCCAGCAAAGACTGTCCATTGTTACCCAAACAACAAACCGTGGGTAACAAAGGACATCAAGGACATCCTGAATGCTAAGAGGAGGGCTTTCAGAGATGGTGATTGGGAGAAGGTGAGGGCCATTCAGGGGGACCTGAAGGTGAAGATCAGGGATGCAAAGGAGAAGTACAGGAGGAAGCTAGACCGTAAACTCCAGCAGAACAACATGAGGAAGGTCTGGAGCGGCATGAGAAACATCACTGGCTTCAGACCGACTGGCAGCAGAGGAGCTGAAGGTAGCTAGGACAGGGCCAACGAACTTAATCTGTTCTTTAACAGATCTGACTCAATGGCTCCCGCCCATCCTCCCACTCTAACACCTCAAACACCTCCAACCCCACCACTCCCCCCTCCTTTCCCCACCCTCCTGTGTGACCCCCCCCTGTTGTCAACTTCATAACTCCTCCCTTTAAGTGTCTGACACTTAGTCAGTTATTAAACTAGACCTCATTATCTATTTTCTGTCCAATATTACCTGTTTAATAATTAATGTGCAATATTCTCTGCTGCTATTTATTCACTAGTCCTTTTTGGTTCACCATAATAATTCTTAATAATGTAAATATTGTACATACCCACACACCTTTATATTTCTCTTCATATTTTATATTTATACTTTTATATTTATATACTCCTTATCTATCTACCTTTGACAAGTGTGCAATTGTGACAAAAGAATTTCCCCTCGGGCATCAATAAAGTATTTCTGATTCTGATTAAAAATGCTGCAGAACACACAGTAAAATTGCCATGATTGAACTACCTCACATTACATAAAGCCTTGAGATAAAAAGACTAAAATATCCACAGTCGTCACTGAGACAGAGAACTGTCTAACTGCTGCTCAGGGTCAGCTGGTTGGCTTTAAGTCATGGGAGTACACATAATAAAAAAAATGGTTTATTACCTCTCCACACAAAACGTAACCTAAGAGAGCAACAATCACCAACCACAAATGGATACAAATAAAACAATATATAAATTAACTAATAAAGGCACAATTTTTGAAATGATCATCATACCTAGCAAATCACTGAAGACACATTCTCCAACACAAAATGTGAATTTGAGAGGGAAAGGATTGGTT